CATGGTCCCTAGAAGCATTCGAACGACTCCAAATTAAAAATGACGCAAATTTTAGAACATTTATTCAGTAATCTAACTTCGTGAAGTTTCAAACCGGTCTCATTTCAGTCTAGAAAATTTTAAAGTTGAGTGAACTGTAGCGAAAGAGTGCTTGGTTAAGGCTTACATAACAACTAATGCATCAGTCAATTCCAGCTGCGCCCAGCACCCCCCCCCCCCCCCGCGCTATTGCGTAAATACTGCAGCAACAATGCATGTAGGGCTGAAACAGGAAGATTCCCAATAAAAATTGAAGCACAATATAGGAATTTTAAGTTTTGGCTAACTCTAACCAAACACCCAAAAAACAAATTATGACAGGTGGTTTATAATGATATAAAGTCGAGGATCAATAAGGAATTATGGAGCCAAAAAATCAAACGCGTATTAGACCAAATAGGGCTGGGATACCTCTGGACAAAAGCACATGAAAATGACATAGGAATCTTGAACATTATCAAACAAAGACTGAAAGACATCGAATTACAAACATGGTTAGTGACGTAAACAATGACGTAAGAAAAGACGCCAACCAAAAGAACAAACTAAGAACCTTCCGAAAATTTAAAACAATAGAGAACTATAAATGTGAAGATTATCTCCGTAAGGTCACCAACATCCGACACCGGATAACTCTAACTAAACTCCGTCTAAGTAATCACAAATTAGCGATAGAGACAGGTCGGTATATAAGACCTTATAAGAAACCGGAAGAGAGGATCTGTCCTATCTGTAAAAAAGACGTAGAAGATGAAATACACTTTTTAACTCTGTGCCCTGCGTATCAAGAAAAAAGAAAGAATTTATTTGAATACTTAAACAAAGAATACCGAATAGCAGTAAACAGAATGGCACCAGATGATGTTTTTCTGTTGTTAATAAACCCTCCGAGCAAGAACAAACCAGTGCAAAAATACGTATTCGACTGCTATGAGAAAAGAAGATCATTAGTTCTTTAGGTTAACATTGATTATAGTTTCACTAGTGTGCAATGTGTGTTATGATTTTAAATTATTTGGTTAGAAAGTCGATGTACATAGGACTGTATAAGACTCCAAATAAAGCATTGTCTTGTCTTGTCTTGTCTTTTCCCGCCTTGTCAGTCCAGGGGGTGGGGCATTTGCAAATTTTTCGCTGCCCGAGAGCCGCGCATTTGCCAACCCCGGGGCCAACCTCAAGCTTTTGAAACGCACGCGGTTTCCTATCAGAATATAACTACACAGAGGATTTTACTGGAAAAACAAGCAGATTGGCTCATCTGTCAAAGACGGGAAAAAATTGAAGAGGTTTGTAAAAGCATGTTCTCGATTTTATGTATACATTTCTTCATTGCTTATTAAACCAGAATTACATAGCAAAATCGGGAGCTATCGACGTGAATCAACGTTTTCTTGGTTTTATTATTGAATTAAATTTCCGTTGATATTATTTGAAGAAAATCCTTTTATATTCATAAAACTATTCTGTTTTTTTCATAACAGTTAACTTAACAGCGCACTAATAATTTTAATGTCAACAACTTCATAACAATGCTAAAACCATAAACTGGTGTCGTCACGGCGTGAAGTCTTATTAGAATAGCAATATTACAAAGGAAGACGTTAATTGAAACAAAAAATCGCACACTAAAAAGCTTAAAATTGCACTACTCGACTGTGCGATCATTGAACAATGTTGCAGCGTTGACGGAGGAAGGGGCATTTGCCCTCTTTTTTGGTCCCCACCCCGGGGAATTTGACAGCTCGAGAGTCTCCACCCCTTGGAATTTGCCATCCAAGGCAAAAAAAAAATGCTAATGCCCAAGGGTCAGCCCCAGAGGGAAGGGGGGAGGGGGGCTGGGTGCAGCTGGAATTGCATTAGAAAAACACTACTCCTTTCACGGTCCGATAAACGACAGGATTTCGCATGAAATAGACAACAAACTGAATGAAATTTACTACACAAATTATCACCTTCTTATCTGCAAAAACCGGCCTATGGTTTCCTGAGTCGAAAGTTGCTTTCCAAGGTACAATAAGCTAAGCTAGACTCCGACAAAACGTTTTTATTTCTGGCACAGAATATTTTGCCGAAAACGCAGTTCAACCACGCGATCACATACCTTTCAACACCATGCGGGAATCAAACAATCACACACTTTCGCGGCACTGATAAGACTATCCACAACCACGCATAATCTTCTCACGTTTAACATGAGCGAAATATCATCGAATAACTCGGAAAAACTCACCCTACTGCCAGATAAACACCTCTGGACTTTTCTCTTACACTCGTCTTATTTAAGTTCCCGGATGTAGAGTCACACGGTCGGCGAATCACCTTAGCCTTGTTTTCACATATACAAAACTAAACTGATAAACGGCACTGAAACCAGCTTTAGGCGCGCGCTGATTTTAAATAACTGTCACTTGTGTTAGAGAAAGAATTGTGGGTAGGGAAAAAAATCGGAAGAGGCAGGGGGAGGGGGGGAGGTAGTAATTCTGTCTACATCCACTTCTACACAAATCCCTAGCCACAAAACAAGCAAGAAAAAAGAAACAACATAAGCAAACCACACAGTAAACATGTGTCAAGTCATTAGACAGGGGAAGTTGCGAAAAATTACAAAATGTTTGCTAACGCGGTTTTAATAACTCCAGGTAGAATTAAGTTCTATAAATTGTGCCTCCATTACACTATCCAGATTCCTCGACAAATCTGCTCTTTCTGTGAACTGGTAAGATTGATTAACAGTACACTCCAACTCCTCCACAATGTTTGTTATTTCTCGACTGTCCAACGAATTTATACTGAGGAACTGAAAACTCATCCATGTTTTGTTTAGTTAACCGCGTTTATCGTGGTGGTCTAGGCAGTAAAGACCCAAAGAACCCAAAGAAAGTTGTTGGGTATTTAATCCTGCGTCACGGCGTGGTTTCCGTGCCTTATAGGTCTGATAGCTTGTCCAGCCTAGCAATCAATTCGGACAACTTGGCCGAGACTTCGCCGCAAATGGCCACAAGCATTGCTTACCTTTAAACATTCATTTGTTTGGGAGCCACTTTCTAGCTGACCTTTTTCGGCACAAATTTCTCCTACGTTTTCTTTTTCACTTTTCGAGCGAACCAGAGCCATATATTAAGCTTAGGCATAATCATATCACTTCAGCAACTTTGCAATTAGTTTTCGACGAGCTTTTCACAACCCGATGGCCTTCAATTAAGGCGACCGTCTTTACTTAAAACTATTTGAATGACTGGTTCAAGAAGAATATTTTCTTTTTATAAACGTGACTTGCAACTGATTTCTAGCTGATCGAGATATCATCATAAACGACTTTCAGAATGAGCGCTCCCAAAAAACTACGATCATTATAATATAGTTACTGTAAAATAAAGGAAAACTTAAGGTTAAAATCTCCTTGGGAATAGCTAGGGTTTACTTGTAGTGACAAGAAAAGGAGCTGGTTTTTATATTACATTTCACCTTAAGTAAGCGATTTTATAAAAAATCACACACAAACAAACAATTTCGTTTCTTTGCGTAACAGTTTAGGCAACGTAAGTCTACAATGTAAGATGTTTACTAAGAACAGAATCAGTGTAGTCAGTCGTTGGAAACTCGTCACGCAATTAAATACGTCTGCAGTTTTAAACCCAGTCTTAAACTCTCTCCGAGGACACTCAAGAGACGCTGAAATGTGGTCTTCGTGCAAGATTTAACAATAAGGCAACAAGTGTTTCCTGAAGTGTTAAGCTTTCAAAACAGGATTTACACTGAAGCCGATTCTTCCAAAACTCGTAAAACCCTTGACACTTCAATTTGCACGGTTGTCGTTTACTTTTATTAGCTTTACTTCCTGCTTTGGAAGTTCCTAACTCAAAATTTTACCAGAGAAACACGTGGTTTTTTAATTTTTTGAAAATCCAATGAAGCCTTAAAACTTTTGTTGTTGTGTCTTTTTTTGTCAATACAAGTCTGCAGACACGAACTATAGACATACACATGTATTTTTAAACATTAAAATATCATTTTAATACATCGAAAACGAACTGCTTTTAAGTGCAAATCCAGCTTTGCTTTCCAAACCCAGGTCACCTTTACATATCTTACACTTTTACATAAAGAGATACCTGACCCAATAACAGATTTGTTCATGTAATAGAAAAAAATATTTATTTTGAGGGAAAATTTCTTTTTCCTAGCTATTACTTAACCAAGGGGATATCAATTATAGCGTTTGTGACTATAACTCTACTTCCGTAAAACAATTTGCTAATATTGCTAGTCTTGTTTTTACCTATCTTTCAGAGAAAGCCGTTATGGACAAGGTTCTAGAAAAGATTTTCCACGGCGTGATTACGGGAGATTTCCTTTCGAAAACTAAACGAGTTGTCCAGGCTATCATGCTGTGGAATGAGTGCTTAATACTCCTAAACAACAAGGCCTTAGAGATAGAAAATGACTCTGCCACAAAATTGAGTATAACGCTGTACAAAAGGCTGTTTGATGGGTATGCTGCTATTAAGAATCTTTCACCGGCTATAGAATCTGGCAAAAAGCTTTTAGTCCTACTTCGTGACTGTAAGAGAAAAAAAGAAGAAGGTGAGACAGCCTTAATGCTAGCAACAATGTACTACCGAAAATGTAAATACAAGGAAGCAGAAGCATTCCTCAAAAAAGCACTCGGTGTCAACAAAGAAATCAACGACAAAGACGGAGAAGCGACATGCTACGCAAACCTAGGAAAGTTATTTCAGTCTGTCGGAGAATATGCCAAGGCTGAAGAATATCTTCATAAAGCACTTACCATCAACACAGACATTGGCGACAGAGACGGAGAAGCGACATGCTACGCAAACCTAGGAGCCGTATTCCAGTCTGTCGGAGAATATGCCAAGGCTGAAGAATATCTTCATAAAGCACTTACCATCAACACAGACATTGGCGACAGAGACGGAGAAGCGACATGCTACATAAACATGGGAGCTGTCTTTCAATCTGTTGGAGAATATGCCAAGGCTGAAGAATATCTTCATAAAGCACTTACCATCAACACAGACATTGGCGACAGAGACGGAGAAGCGACATGCTACGCAAACCTAGGAGCGGTATTCCAGTCTGTCGGAGAATATGCCAAGGCTGAAGAATATCTTCATAAAGCACTTACCATCAACACAGACATTGGCGACAGAGACGGAGAAGCGACATGCTACGCAAACCTAGGAGCGGTATTCCAGTCTGTCGGAGAATATGCCAAGGCTGAAGAATATCTTCATAAAGCACTTACCATCAAGACAGAAATTGGCGACAGAGACGGAGAAGCGACATGCTACATAAACATGGGAGCTGTCTTTCAATCTGTTGGAGAATATGCCAAGGCTGAAGAATATCTTCATAAAGCACTTACCATCAACACAGACATTGGCGACAGAGACGGAGAAGCGACATGCTACGCAAACCTAGGAACGTTATTTCAGTCTGTCGGAGAATATGCCAAGGCTGAAGAATATCTTCATAAAGCACTTACCATCAACACAGACATTGGCGACAGAGACGTAGAAGCGACATGCTACGCAAACCTAGGAAAGTTATTTCAGTCTGTCGGAGAATATGCCAAGGCTGAAGAATATCTTCATAAAGCACTTACCATCAACACAGACATTGGCGACAGAGACGGAGAAGCGACATGCTACGCAAACCTAGGAGCGGTATTCCAGTCTGTCGGAGAATATGCCAAGGCTGAAGAATCTCTTCATAAAGCACTTACCATCAACACAGACATTGGCAACAGACGCGAAGAAGCGACATGCTACGGAAACCTAGGAACGTTATTTCAGTCTGTCGGAGAATATGCCAAGGCTGAAGAATATCTTCATAAAGCACTTACCATCAAGACAGAAATTGGCGACAGAGACGGAGAAGCGACATGCTACGGAAACCTAGGAACGTTATTTCAGTCTGTCGGAGAATATGCCAAGGCTGAAGAATATCTTCATAAAGCACTTACCATCAAGACAGACATTGGCGACAGAGACGGAGAAGCGACATGCTACGGAAACCTAGGAACGTTATTTCGGTCTGTCGGAGAATATGCCAAGGCTGAAGAATATCTTCATAAAGCACTTACCATCAAGACAGACATTGGCGACAGACACGGAGAAGCGACATGCTACGGAAACCTAGGAACGTTATTTCAGTCTGTCGGAGAATATGCCAAGGCTGAAGAATATCTTCATAAAGCACTTACCATCAAGACAGACATTGGCGACAGACACGGAGAAGCGACATGCTACAGAAACCTGGGAACTGTCTTTCAATCTGTCGGAGAATATGCCAAGGCTGAAGAATATCTTCATAAAGCACTAACCATCAACACAGACATTGGCGACAGAGACGGAGAAGCGACATGCTACGGAAACCTAGGAACGTTATTTCGGTCTGTCGGAGAATATGCCAAGGCTGAAGAATATCTTCATAAAGCACTTACCATCAAGACAGACATTGGCGACAGAGACGGAGAAGCGACATGCTACGGAAACCTAGGAACGTTATTTCGGTCTGTCGGAGAATATGCCAAGGCTGAAGAATATCTTCATAAAGCACTTACCATCAAGACAGACATTGGCGACAGAGACGGAGAAGCGACATGCTACGCAAACCTAGGAACGTTATTTCAGTCTGTCGGAGAATATGCCAAGGCTGAAGAATATCTTCATAAAGCACTTACCATCAACACAGACATTGGCGACAGAGACGTAGAAGCGACATGCTACGCAAACCTAGGAAAGTTATTTCAGTCTGTCGGAGAATATGCCAAGGCTGAAGAATATCTTCATAAAGCACTTACCATCAACATCAACACGGAGACATTGGCGAAACCTAGAGTTATTTCAGTCTGTCGGAGAATATGCCAAGGCTGAAGAATATCTTCATAAAGCAAATCAAGACAGACATTGGCGACAGAGACGGAGATTTACAGTCTGTCGGAGAATATGCCAAGGCTGAAGAATATCTTCATAAAGCACTTACCATCAAGACAGACATTGGCGACAGAGACGGAGAAGCGACATGCTACGGAAACCTAGGAACGTTATTTCAGTCTGTCGGAGAATATGCCAAGGCTGAAGAATATCTTCATAAAGCACTTACCATCAAGACAGACATTGGCGACAGACACGGAGAAGCGACATGCTACGGAAACCTAGGAACGTTATTTCAGTCTGTCGGAGAATATGCCAAGGCTGAAGAATATCTTCATAAAGCACTTACCATCAAGACAGACATTGGCGACAGACAGAGACGGAGCGACATGCTACGCGGAATTATTTCATTCTGTCGGAGAATATGCCAAGGCTGAAGAATATCTTCATAAAGCACGTACCATCAAGACAGACATTGGCGACAGAGACGGAGAAGCGACATGCTACGGAAACCTAGGAACGTTATTTCAGTCTGTCGGAGAATATGCCAAGGCTGAAGAATATCTTCATAAAGCACTTACCATCAACACAGACATTGGCGACAGAGACGGAGAAGCGACATGCTACGCAAACCTAGGAGCGGTATTCCAGTCTGTCGGAGAATATGCCAAGGCTGAAGAATATCTTCATAAAGCACTTACCATCAACACAGACATTGGCGACAGAGACGGAGAAGCGACATGCTACGGAAACCTAGGAACGTTATTTCAGTCTGTCGGAGAATATGCCAAGGCTGAAGAATATCTTCATAAAGCACTTACCATCAACACAGACATTGGCGACAGAGACGGAGAAGCGACATGCTACGCAAACCTAGGAACGTTATTTCAGTCTGTCGGAGAATATGCCAAGGCTGAAGAATATCTTCATAAAGCACTTACCATCAAGACAGACATTGGCGACAGAAACGGAGAAGCGACATGCTACGGAAACCTAGGAACGTTATTTCAGTCTGTAGGAGAATATGCCAAGGCTGAAGGATATCTTCATAAAGCACTTACCATCAAGACAGACATTGGCGACAGATGCGGAGAAGCGATAAGCTACGCAAACCTAGGAACGTTATTTCAGTCTGTCGGAGAATATGCCAAGGCTGAAGAATATCTTCATAAAGCACTTACCATCAACACAGACATTGGCGACAGAGACGGAGAAGCGACATGCTACTCAAACCTAGGAGCGGTATTCCAGTCTGTCGGAGAATATGCCAAGGCTGAAGAATATCTTCATAAAGCGCTTACCATTGTCGACAGAGACAGCGAAGAAACATGCCACCTGCGTCTAGGTGAAGATGTGAAGGCTCAAAAATATATTCAGAATTCTCTTGAAATTAGCAGGAGGACTGTAAACATCAATTTGCAATATAAATCTTTACTTTCCCTATTTTGGTGTGTTTTAAACTCGAAAGGAAACATATCTGAAGCCTTATTGATTCTCCATAGAAGTATTCAAATTTTCGAAAAAATGCATAGCTTTCTAGGAAACAAAGATGGCCGCAAGATATCATTTTTTGACAACCACGCGGAACCCTATCGGCAGTTTAGTTCATTGAGTTTTTCTTATGGGAAACCCTATGAAGCTTTACACGTTGCTGAACTTGGACGGGCCAAAGCTCTTGCAGAACTAATGTCAAACCATTACTCCATTGAAAAAGAAATATCCATCGACACACAATCGTTTGTTGGCATTGAGGAAGTAACGAGGAAAAATGGCAACAGCACTTGCCTATACATCTCCTACTACTCTGACAACATATTTTTGTGGGTTTTGAAACAAAGCAAACTGGTGGCTTGCCGAAGAACGAAACTTTGTGAAAGCTATGTTAGCAAGGACGGCAAAATCTCTGTGGATGACCTTTTTGGAAACGAAAGCTTATTAAGAAATTTTGACGTTTTACCTCAAGAGCAATGCGAAGACCGATCACTCTTCTCCTCTTACACCAACCAACTTACAAACGAATCAAATCTGGAAGATAGTCTCTCATCCTTGCGTCTTTCTTTAGATGAGGACTTAGTACACACAGACCCTGAACCGCCAACACTTGTTCAGATTTACAACATGTTGATTGGTCCTGTAAGTGACGTACTAGAAGGATCTGAAATTATTGTTGTTCCTGATCGCTGCTTCTTCAAAGTTCCGTTTGCAGCATTACATGATGAAAGTAACCACTTTTTATCAGATTCATTCAGGATACGCATTGTTCCTTCTTTGACGACGCTCAAGCTCATTCTGGACAGTCCAGCGGACTCTCACAGCGAAACTGGTGCATTGATTGTGGGTGAGCCAAAAGTGACGAATGTGTATTTCAAGGGAGAGTTAGGGTATCTCTGTCCACTGCCTGGCGCGAAAGCGGAAGCAGAGATGATTGCAAGACTACTACCTGAATCTCACCTTTTAATAGGAGAGCAAGCAACAAGGCAAGCAGTTCTTCAGAGAATACCCTTAGTGAGTCTCATACATTTCGCTGCTCATAGTGATGCCGAAAGAGGAGAAATTTTCCTTACCCCACTTGACCCCACAATGGAGACTCCACATGAAGCAGACTACTTACTGACAATGACCGACATTTCACAAGTTAGACTGTCAGCCAAACTGGTGGTCCTTAGCTGTCCCTATACCGCACGTGGACAGATCAAAACAGAAGGCGTTGTTGGAATCGCTCGAGCATTCTTAGGATCAGGTGCACGCTCAGTGTTGGTGGCACTGTGGGCCTTACAAGACGATGCAACAGAACAGTTCATGAGAAGATTCTACGAAAACCTTGTCCAAGGAGAAAGTGCATGTGAATGTCTTCACCGGGCCATGAAGTGGATGCGAAATAACGGTTTCTCTGAAGTGAGACAGTGGGCACCTTTCATGCTGATTGGGGATGACGTGTCATTTCACTTTGGTGAAGAAAAGTGAAGGTAATTCGTGCTTTCTGATAATTAGGGCCATAGGAAATCTGCCAGGTCTTTTTGTATTGCAGTTTTATCAACTTAGGTACATTTGTACTTTCAAGTACTAAATAATTTAAAAAGCGGTATTGGCCCTTGAAAGCCAAATTATTGACTACACCTGAAGTCAGCTTTTACTATGACTGAGGTAAAATATCAATCAACCGCTTTTTAACATCGATAGATACTAAACGCACACAAAAAATAAAGCCCCGTATCCCTACTGTAACACAGAATGATTTTAAATCTTTTTTCTTTTTCGTGATATATGAGGCATAAATAATTGAATATTCTTTTATTTGTTACCGCTCAATATGAACATGAGGGTTGGCTGAATATACTATGGTATGTGAATTCCCGAACTGTAACCAAAACAAACAACCCAAGGTAGTTTTTTGTTTGATATAAAGATAATCGGAATAAACATATCGTGGCGGAGATCTAGATCTGAGAATTGATCGAAAACACTAAAAACTACAAATTGTCGGCTGTGTATGGCGTCTTGAACGTAACTACAGGGCTTTTCGCTGACACTGACAGTAGTACACTGGCTCTAAACTTGGACTATAAAGAGAAAAGACCGAGATTCCAAAGGTCATCAAGGCAAGGAGTTTCAAACCTATTTTAGTTGTGCACCCTGCTTTTCATAGGTGATGCCTAATTGGAAAGTTTTAGCGGTGAGATAAACTTAAATAAGTAAACTTTTCCCTTATGATAAATCCCTCTTACATGTAAAATGAACCTAAATGCCACTTACCCCAGCTGGAGTCTTTTGTAATTAATATATGTGTTTTACCAATTTTTATGTTTTTATACATTACTATTCCAGGTATTACACTAACGACACACCATGGAACAGAACAGAACAGCCCTTCCGCAGAATTCCAATGAGGTAGTCCCTGGCGGAAAATGTAAATGGTCAATCCTTGCAGCAAACGAACATAACCCAGACTAGAAGAATTAAAAGAGAACTGACTTGCTCTGCCCAGCTGTTCATCTTTACCGGCTTGATTATTTTTCGCGCTGATTTTATGAATTTGTATGTGTGTGTGTACATAGGTACCTTGAGTACTCTTGACTAATCTCGGTCTAAAATGTCTTGCAAAAGCACCAATCACCAGCCTCGTAAAAGTGTACATCGGTAGCTAGGACAATGATACACTGTAATTGCGACGCGAATAACATCAGGATTAGATAATTTCCTAGGCTATCTATTTAGGTAATTTGTTAACTTACTTCCTTAATTAGTCACTAAGGCTACAACTAACAAATACTTTTCACGTAAACGAGATTCTTAATCGCAAATTGAAGTTTGATTACAATGTAAACAACATTGCAAGGTTTATAGTTTAGTCGAATTGTATATATTTTAGAGCCAATCTTTCTGTGGACATAGAAGTACAGTATATAGTTCTGCAACCTTGCATTATGAAATAAGGTTTGACGACTCAAGTCAACTAAAAGTCTAGCGGAACCAACTTGTCCAAACTCCAAACTAGCCATAACAGTGGTAACCTTTCATTGTATAATATTCATGCCTGAGCATAGGTTAGTATTTCACTTTGTTTGATCAGTCCCTGCAAAAGTCTTCTTGACTGTAACGTTTTCAATTTTTTCTATTTTGACTGATCACGATCTTTTTGGATCCGACGTTGAGCAAGATTGTTCGTTCACGGTTTTTGCAGTGGTTTTTTACCTTAACTAAACATTATAGGTTAGTATGTTAGTATAGAAGAGTAGTATGTTTTTTTAAGTACTTGCTGTAGAAAAATAATATCCACCTAAAGTGTAAAGATTTGGTGGTCCAGTTTTCAGTAGTGTTAAGAGAACCTTACAGTAGGAAAACATGTCGCGTATCCTAGAAGGCCGCACATGGAAGTTTCATTGTAATTTGTATATTTTTAAAAATAAAGCGTATGAGATGGCAAACTCAACGAGAAAACTTTATTGAGCCTTTCGTTGTTAAGACCTCTTGTGTTTCTCCTTAACTATCTATTTTCTCTTTAACAAAAAAATCAGCATTTCCTATATAAGAGAGATTTAGAATCACATTTTCACGTCAAACGGCAACGTTAATTCTGACGTAACCAAGGTATCAGTCTAAAAAAATAAACAAATAAACTGGTAATTTGTAATTTGTTTTCCCACAGAGCACTTAGAAGTTGCTAAAAACTTATACGCGTCCGTCTGTTCTGGGTCGAATTGGACTTTGGAAAGGTTGGTTTTTGGAGAGAGGGAAAAATCGGAGAACCCAGAGAAAAAACCTCTCGGAGAGGCAGAAAACCAACAACAAACTCGTACCATTTCATATACCAAAAGCATGAAAAAGGTACCCCTTTTCGTCGGAGCCTCTCCATAAAGGCCATTGTAGGAAGTACCGGTAACCCCCTCCCCGGCCGGGGGAAGGGAAGCAAGTGCTTACCACTGCTCCACTCTTGCTCAGTTTTCAGCGTCAGAAGCCGATTCACTTGTTGTATTTGTTTATCTTGCTGTATATATCTACACAAAAAACTGAAAAAAGTTAGTAGTTCGCTGTCGACCAGTTTAATCCATAACATGTATTTTGCAAAATTTGTTCCTGTTTATTTCCTGATTCAAGGAAATGTCACCTTGGGTCTAATGTTTGCTATCTGCCGTAAACGCGACTCTAAATATCTCGATTTTCCTCTCAACGACTACTACAATCCATAAATTTGGTCTCCGCATAAAAGTTACTGCCACGATCACTCCCGTCGATTTGGAATCGTAGAATTACGTTGACGGCAAAGTCGAAACATCAGGTTCAAGTATTACAATTACTCACGTTAGGAAATCAACAGATAAAAACCGAGAAAATTATCCTTACCGATAAACCTGGCATGAATGTCTTTATTTTTTAAACATTAAGAGTGGTTGTCAGAGAAAACCGGGCAAAATGTTAAAAATGTCAACGGAAGGGGGTCAACAGAATAAGTTCATACTAACATCATAGATAGGTCTGGTGGAGTAATGGACAAATATACCAAACATAGGTTCTTCACTGCTCTTGTATTAGAGATACGCGCATCACTTTATTCGACCCCCTCGGACGCCATTTTTATAAGCAAATTTTCACCATTTTCTGAAACTCAAGGAACCCTCCAAATTTAACGAGCGAAGTTTATTTTTGTATGCGATACAACACATCATAGAACTACTTTCTAAAACCATAAGATTTGTTAAGTATCCACGGACAAGACTAACATTTTCTTATTTTATCTGACCTAAACTCAGTGTCTGCAAAGGAGCAAAAAATCGGGCAGTTTTGAATTGATCTACAGCGCACAACTAAAACAACAGAACAACTCTGACAGCCAAATTGCAGTCTACTATCATCCATGTAACCAAAACACTAATAATCATTTTGGGCCATTGAAACAGGAAGAAATTAGAAAACTCACATTTGTTATAGTTTCCAAGCTTTTTCTTGTAAACAGGCCGATCCCTTCGTGTTTGTTTTAAGTCCTCTTCGTGAATTTTCCTTCATATTTCGCTGTAAAGTATGTTCAGCAGCTGGAGGACATATCAAAAAGCTCGAAATACTGCCTAAGTTACATTTTGAAAGGGCAAAAAGTGCTGAACGATAGGATGAAACTAGAAAATAACAAAGCGACCCCATCTTGAAAATTGAGCACTCAGGAGGGACTGGCAGTAGTAGCTGCGTAAGGACAAAAATTGCAAAGTTTTCACGACTCAATTGTCTCGTAATTCCCAAAAGATACTTGAGCACATAGAAAACCAAACCTGATACAGAAATGGAACGAGAAAGCCTCGGATTCATGTAAGAATTAAGTTTCTTTATCGTACGTCGGCTATTACGAACTATTACCAGGAGCCTATGGGCTCCTGTAATTACCAGTAAGATAAAAAAACAAGAAAACAAACAAACCAGCTTATCAGCGACCTACGCCAGTCTTATTTCTTCTTTAATTACTTCTTTTAGTTGAATTTAGCTTGTTTTTCTTTCAAAGGAAAAAACAAGAAGAACGCCTGATCGCAGGTTAATCGGTGATTAACTGGCATTGCTTCATTCCCTCCTCATCTCTAGGTGTCCCGTGAATGTAGATAATATTAAAGATCTATTTTGTCTCTTTATGAATCACTTAACTTCGCTCTTATGGAAGCTAGCTAGACTTGCTATATATCAACCTCCCGAGTTTCTAAGCGTGCGGGCTAACTACGGGCAGTGGATATTGCTTGCTGTAAAATTTGTAATAATTTTTATCACCTAAAATAAAAAAAATCAGCGTGCGGAGCGAGCATTTTAGGCCGCAAAGCGTCCTAGATAGCGGACGAAGTAATTTTTGAAAGCCCGGGGGGGGGGGGGGGGGGGAGGGGGACTCCGCATATGAAAGTGCTGGGGATGCTCGTCGTCTTGCTTTGGGGTGTAAATTTCGGATTTTAGTCTTATTTAGGGTGTTCTGGGCAAAACGCTATCATATTTAGCCGTGAAGGTCTCGTTTAGGGTAGCACGCGAAAAAAGATAAAAATATATATTTGATATGTATATTTTTAATTCGTTTTATTTACTCCATTCATATCATCCTAGTTTTCTCATTTGTCTGTGTTTTAACATGGTCTCTTTTAGGGATCAAAAAAAGCTTGGGTCACGCCCAGATCGGTCTCCTTTAGGGGTCTAATTCAAAATTTCCGACGAGCATCAATTTACTGAATCCAACGATACACACCTGAGACTGTAATAGTAACGCGAATATTTATACAGGATAACCTATCAGTTCTAATAAAAAGAACTGTTATCAAAAGGGTCCTGTAATTATCTCATAAATAGCTAAAAACTGAAAAAGAAAATCGAAAGAGGAAAATAGAATAACACTACGAAATCTAAGATTCAAAAATCAAAATCGGTAAAAATTATTGACTTATAAGCCTGAAAAGAGTTGTGAATTATGGAATACTATTGAAAAACTCTTTTAAATTACTCTTAAAAAGAAACTGAGAAATTAAATTTCTCAAATGCCGAGGTAAAGTATTGTAAACTAGAGCCCCTTGAAAGGCAAAACTTCTCCGCGGAACCGTATGCGGAGTCCCCCCGGGTTTGAAAGTAAGCCTTCTAACTGATGATCTCATCGCTATCACTTCGCATTTCCATAAGGTAATAGACTGTTGACAAGAGCTGTCAAAATAAACCATTTAAAGGGTTTACCAGAATCTGGTTTACTGGAAGGATTCGGAAGGAGCTTTTGTTAAAAAGTATCATAACAGGAGTTCCTACGGCTTCACTCCGTATCCCTTCCCCTCATTGTTTTTCCTGCTCACTTCTTTTTCAGTATGCTCTTTGCACGGTCCACACGGGCTAAACGCCACGGGTCCGGACGAACCCGTTTAGAGGGAACGTGCAAATTCTCCATAGATTGCAGTACTGTTTGCAGCTCAAAAACTTTACGGTTCCGCGGGTCGCATGTAAAGAAAAATGCGGATCCAAGCACGTTTTTGGCAGTTCAAAAATTTTTAAAAGGGGTCTGAGTGTTAACTCGAGTTTTGACATCTCCTACATCTCTTCGTCACTGGATTTGTAAAAAACACTCTCACTACGGTGTTTAACACAAGCAGAATCATGTTCACAGTCCTCACATTTAGAGTAATTGTCAAGGTCTTGCCTTAAATTCAGAGGAGGCAATGATGACAGAAATGGAATTTATTCATCTGCTGCGGAGATAATTTCCAACGGCATTTCGTTTGTTAATCCTTTCCACGGCGCTGTTGCAAAAAAAGCGCGCGCGAATCACACAAGACGGCACAAAATGTACTAAAAATAGTACATTAATGGCTATGATATATATTTCGATGAGGTCAGCCCCATCTCTGAAAAAGGTATCCAGTTACGGTCTACTACCCCGATTTATATATCTATGGCTCCTGGTAGAGTATAAAAAAGTAATTTTGTGCAATTTTGCAGCGTAATTAGCGGTGTTAGTTAACTCTGTCCGCCATCAGGAGCCCGAAAACCACAATGTTAAAAAAATGTATGAGTAAAGACTACACATCAATATTAATATTAATCTTGTAAAAATTCTAGTATGAGCCATTAAAATTGTTGAATGACCTTCTTCACCTCAGACACTCGTGTCAGTCAAGTGTGAATCGACGTCCGCCATTTCGAATTTTGTTCAAAAAACCTCTGACCTAGCAGCCTGTTTGCATCTTGCGCCCATCATCTGCCCCCAACGGTTGAGGATCTGGCTCCTTTTTTATAGGAAATTCATAAATTGTCTACTAAAACACTGTGCAATATGAAAGCAAGGCCAATTTAAGCACTAAAAGCTGCTCAGATATCTCAGAATTGCAAGAAAACTAGGAAGAGAAATTGCTCAGAAATTATGCAAAAAGTTGCTTGAAACGAAAAAAGTTGCTCGAAATACTACAAGTTGCCAAAAAATTGGCGAGCAACTTGTGGAAAGCTCTAGAGAGAAGGGGGAGTGGGGAAGGGGTGGGAGGCTACTCAATAAAGCTTTGTTCGGAGAGGCTTCGCCTCGAGGTCCAGTCCCTTACCCTTAAATATACTATTTTTAA